AAATATTCTGAACCCAGCTTAAGTGTTAGCCTCACAGTTCGATATTATAGTAAAAAGAAAAAGGGAAAATACCATTTAGTACTAGCAGCACTTATGTTTCAGCTCCACCAAATAACCCAGTTAGTCACAATAAGTATTATTGTTCTTTTTATATTATTTTAGATTTAATTGAACTAGATTTAAATTGAGCCTGATCTTAATGCCCCTCCAGTGTCGCCAACATATGATCCTAACCCATCTGCTTACTCTGATATCAAACCTGAGATCACAGAAACTTATGACATACTGGGACACAATCGTGGACATGTTCATTCTTCTCCTAACAATGGAACATATTCCAGACTTAACATTGAAGGAATTCCTGTCTATGATGAATGTCAACATAATGGTGATGCAACAATGAAGCCACAGCCACCACAATCACATCATGGTGAATATTCTCAATTGAATGTGGGACAGCAAATGTCATGTCTTGGAAGTTCTTTAGTGACTGATCAATATTCTAGTGTTCTAGACAGGACACCCATTGTCAATGGGATTCCTCTTGTTCAAAAAAGTACATAAATTATTATATTAGCTGCATTTTAACATTACATTAATTTATTATCCTTATCACTAGATTTAACACACAAAGACCTATCTCTTCATGTCATTCCTCATTTAACAAATAAATGGCGTGAAGTGGGATTGGCATTAGCACTGACTCCCCCCAGCTTGACGATATAGAGGAGAATAACCAAGGAATAAGTGACGTGTTTCAATTGTGGGAGGATCTTGCTACACGTCCATTCACATGGGAGACTTTATTGAACGCACTCAGATCTTCAACTGTCAATGAGTCTCAGCTTGCAAATAAGCTGCTAGAATTATAATTACCAGTATGCGTGTTTGACTTTTAAAAATAGTTATAACAATTTATTATTTAATTACCCGGTATTTGAAGGTGTGGCTGAACTGCAAGGCATGCACTAGGTGTGGCTAATTAAGTAATTATTATACTATTGAATAAATTTGGGCGTGTTTTTTTAGAAAAAAAATGCTTATAAATCTATTGCTAACTTTGGCTGGGGTGTTTATTTTTAGGAATAAATTGATTGGAAATTTGAAATTATAAGTTTAGCTTTTCACAATGTATGATTATAACAAATGTGGCATGGTAAAAATTGCATGACATACTAATTGTCTGAGGCATAAGCTCCTTAGAACCAAATGAGAATCGAAATTGAATTTTTAAAAATGTTTAAAGCTGCTGTCAAAAATGAATAAGAGGGAATTCTGCATTATTTTTTTCTGATACATATACATGTACTTGTGTTGTATTTTAAGTTCGAGCTAATTCTGATAAAAATTGGATTTTTTTACAAATTATTTAAGCTACTCAAAAATGCCAAAGTCCCTGTGCTATAGTACAGAGTCATTGGCCAAATTTTGTCAAAAGTCACTTGTTGAGAATTTTCATTTTTATAATTATTTCTGATGCATCATTATACATGTGTACATGTACTTATGTCATGCATTAAGTTTGAGCCAATTCTGATCAAAATTAATTTTGCATCCTTGCTACATTAGTACATGGTATACCATAGTATTTATATTGCATGAGTTGCCAATAATAACAAAATTTGGCATCACATCACTTTATTTGCTTATACTATCATCAAAATGATAATAACCCCCATTACCCCAATTTCAATACATCAAGACCACCCACCTAGACCTATACTATCAATATCAA